CCCCCCCCCCCCCCCACTAACCCCTACAAAAATTTCTTGGACAGACAACACTACTGCTTGGAATGTTCCAACTCCTTGTGCGAAGTCCATGCTAGATATGTATTCCAAAACAGTGATACAACATTCACAACCAGCACTCGCAGATGGGCTGGAAAAAAATAAAAATTGCAGAACTGAACAGCTGGCCAGATTTGGTAGTTCACAACCATATTGGGATAAAATTCCTCGTAGATTTTGTCACTAATCTCTTTGATGGTGCGACGTTCAACGACTCCGACAGCACCGTAAAATAAAACAAGAAACACTGGCGCCAGGATGCTTTGATCCACTGTCATTTTCCGGATGGCATTTCCAGGGCTTTTGCGAGCAAATCTTTTATCCAGTTGTGCGTACCATACGTGGAATATGGGGCCAATCACAACAGTTCCGACAGCCGCCATTCGGGCTGTACGAACCAAATCATGCTCTCGCAATGGAACTTTCTCAACGTATTGTTGTGCAATGAAGTCTCCAGCTCCGAGAAGTGCTCCTGAAAATAAAACGAGCTAAATAAGAACACCATGTTATTTTTGTCAGCAGCCTCTTTTGTGTCACTCTTTATTTTTTCTCCTTCCAACTCACCTTCTGGATATTTTTTCGAGACTAAATCCATCACTTCTTCTACATTGGGAATCATGGGCAATTATGAGCGGGCAAGCATGTATGTGTAATGTATGTGTGTAAGTAATGTAGAATAACGTAATGTGAAATGTTAACATCAGATTTTTTAAAATATACAGAAATTATCAGAAAACTATTCAGCGTTATAATTTTCTGAGTTCTTGTAATGAACGAAGCTTCAAAAAATGGTCTCCGGCCTCACAGAGCCACAACCAAAGACAGTGAGATCCACCTACTCCCTTCCCTGGACGGGCAGTTGTGTAAAATCAAGTAAGCCACGTCAGTGAAGTCTGACGGGTCAAATACTTCAGGCAGAAAAAGTTAGACCTGTGAGTAAAATAAATCCTGGCAAATGAAATACGCAAGCCAAGGAAAGTGGGAAAACGAGGGAAGCACGGAACAAGAAACGTGTAGGCCACACTAGGCTATAATTTATGTCCTCATATATAACGTACCCACTGAGGACCCTGGGACAAAAACAAATGAAGGTGACAGATTTCTGTGCTCGAAACCAGGCTGACACCACGAAGTAAAGAACCACATACTCATTTTCGGCGATTTTAATGTACACTTAAGAGTCAGATGTAAAGTTTACCGTCAATGCTGCTTTAGAGAAAGTCTTTGAAACAAAAGAAAGTTACAAAAACGAACGCTAAATTTAGTTTCCTGATAATTCTTACTCCTTTACCGTTTTCTACTTCGCTACCGTAAGCAGCGTTCACTGATTTTATGTAAGACAGTTCCGAGACTTTGAAAGATACACTTGATTTTTCGGTGGCCAATCCATTCTGCTTTACGAAAAGGCCATGTAACATTTCTAAACACGATTGATCAGGATTGAAGTGATTCTTAGAGCTTGTAATGTCATAAAACCAGAAGTTCTTCAGCTGAGTGGTCGACGGCATTTGAAATATCTTGCAAGGATTCGGAACTGATCCTTGAACAGGTTTTCGCTTGTCTTTAAGAGATTATTTTGTATTGAAAATAATGTATTTCGTATGAACTTCGCAGAGAATACTATGAGAGCAAATTTTGACCGAATTAGATCACGAGGAGCCGCGGTTTCAATCTGAACGAGTTTGATTTAGCGATGACTTCCTATACCACAACGAATTTCAACGCAAACTAGACATTCCTGCAGAATAAAAATCTGACTTACCTGGAAAGATTTTGAGAAACCTAAAGTGGAGCGGCAGTAAATGTATGAGAAATTAGAAAAATAAGTACCTGTGGTTTGAAAAACACATACGACTCTTCGAATTATTGTGATGTCAAGACAAATATTTAATTACCTTACGTTCGATAGACCGTAATCCCAGTTAGAGTGCTAAACACTGGTTGGGAACGTAGACCCAAGAAGTAATTTGCGGTTTCTATGACCAAGCCGCTGAAAAATTATAAATCTTGCCCACAAATTTTTAAATTTACCTCAAAAATTAGCTTGTTAGGAACGATTAATGATTCAAGGGTCAAAGTCTACCTGTCGAGATGAGCTGAGTTTTCCACGGATGAATCTCTAAACATCGCATGTACCATCTCCAAGCACGAAGAGGTAATCTCATTGCACCACTGAATCCTTGTTCTTACACTAACGTTTCACAGCCCAGCCATGATGCTTTCCTAACTATTTATCAAGTTGCTTGTATTGTGAAATATGAATGACGTTATTACCGGCAGCAGTGAACCTTGAATATATTGTGGCCTGAGTCAAATTTGCATTTCGCCGTACAATATTCAATATAAACCAGCATCACCGCTACCATAGAAACATAAAAATTTTAAACGAAACTTTGAACTCGGACCAAATGATTTCCAGAATGTTGGGTTCGGAAATTCATATCAGAGATTTCAACGGAATTATCGCTACGATAAATAACTTTCGAACAGGAAATAGAGTTGCGAATGACTTTTACCCCACAGCGAAAGTTGCACAAATGACTATTCCCAGGTGAACACTGGCTGCCCCCATGTAGGGGAGGGGAGGGAAGGCCGCACCTCGTCGCTAATGTCCGAAAGCAAAAAGTCTCCCGAGATTGAAATTGATAACCCTCACAAGGTTGAGCTCGTGCACATCATGTGTGCAGTAATTATAGAAAGTTCAGCTACGAACAGTTAACGGTTTCGTTTGTAAGGAGACAATAAAACGAGGAAGGAATGAGGTCGGTTTTTACATCCATTCCCAGGAGTTTTATTTATCTTTTCCCTATGCCACTGTCGATGATGTCATAAGAGGCGGTGATCAGTGAAGGGAGCCTGTTACAGGCTAAACGGACGAAAGTAAGAGGTCTTAGTAGTACATGCATAGCCAATTCTTTATTTAAAGAGAGTAGGCTAAATAGCCAAAAGGCTAACTGTGGTCGTCAGGTCTTACAAGGCGGCGGTAGACGCTGGTAACTGGTTCTTTGTTTTAAACCCCTGCAGCATTCAAGCTGTCGGGTTTATTATTATTATTATTATTATTATTATTATTATTATCATAATTATTATTATTACACAGCCTTTCGATGATGATGGTTAGCCTGTGGCGCTCCAGGAGTGCGCGCGCGCGAAACTTCCGCTTTTTCTGAGAAATATAATTAAATGACGCCATAGGAAAACAAAATGGGTTTGGGTAAAATCAAAATTCTTTTCAAGGAATGCCTTGAACCAGGAGCCCATTAAATAACTCCTGCTTGAAAGCAAAGCAAAATGCTACGATCTAGAATTCCAATACTGATAAGCCTCGATCATATTCGGCCTAAGGATCCCCGATTGTCGCTTGGTGTGGCGAGTATTATCAGCCATTTGAGCCATAACAAAATCGAGTACAATGCTCACTCGTACAATATCGCTCAAGAAGTGCAGGTTTACCCGTTAGCAAGGAATATCCTTGACACGATTTGGAGCCAGTACAATGATTCGAAATATGATCTCATGTTTGGAGGCTTTGTTTGGAATGAGCCTTTCCTCAAGACGATTCTTCGCGAACTGAAATATTATGACTACCCAGGTCGGATTGTTATTGCAGGTCCTCAGGTGTCTTACGTCGAGAAAGGAGAGCTAGAAAAATACTATCCGGAGGGAGATGTATTCATACGGGGGTATGCAGAACAGGCTGTGTTAGAACTTGCGGAAGGGAAGGATAATATCCTAGGAGTCCACTTAGCAAACACTCCAGACAAGGGCTTTCATACGTCTACCAAATTATCCGACCTTTCGTCGCCTTTCCTCGACGGAACATTAGAACCTCAGCACTTCATGCGTTGGGAAACGACCCGTGGTTGTCCTTACAGCTGTTCATTTTGCCAGCACAGAGATCCATCACCTTCTTCGCCAGCAAATAAGAGCTGGACTAAAATCCAGCACTCGCAAAGGGATCGGATTCAATCGGAAATCGAATGGTTCGTCGACAATAATGTCCACGATCTTGCTGTGCTAGATCCCACTTTTAACACGCTGAACGGAAACATGGTACTTGACTTTCTAGAACGTGCCAGATTTTCCGGAAAAATCAGCCTTCAGTGCAGGCCTGAAAGAATCACGGAGGCGTTTTTAGATCAGGTAGAGTCCCTGAGCAAAACTACAGGAGCTGAAGTAGTTTTGGAGTTTGGTGTGCAAACACTCGACCCCGAAGAGCTGCTGCATATAGAGCGAGTGCGCAATGCTAACACATATAAGTTAGCCGAGAAAGTTTTACACAAACTGGCTCTTGTTAATCAACGTAGAATTAAGCATGAAGTCAGCCTCATCTTTGGCTTGCCCCTGCAAACCGTAGAGAGTTTCCAGCAGACTATACTGAAGCTTCAAGAGACGACTGATGGCTCGCTGGTCGCTTTTCCTCTGATGTTGTTACGAGGAACACCCTTATATTACCAAAAGAAAAAATTTGGGCTGATCGAAGGTACGGATATCGCACATCCTTTGATAGATCGGATCCAAAAATTCATTCCTCATGTTGTAACCTCTCCTTCTATGAGTTACATAGACTGGAATACGATGGCGAATATTGCTGTTTCTCTACAAGACCAAACAGAGCCAAAAGAGGAGAGTGGAATACATGCATGACATGATACGCAGGTTCTGAAACTTCATCTCAGTCAATTTTTAAAACTCCTAAACTCGCATTACACTGCTAAAAAAGACTGCGCGAGGGAATTGTTTTCATTATATTATTTCATCGTGGGTAAATAATATATAATATCTAATTATATACTTTAATATAAGAATGCTTCGGAGAAAAATTGTTAGCTGAGTTTTTAAATATAATGCTTTCTTGAGAAAGTCACCTTATTGTGTTAAGGAAGTAATAATCTAATGCTTCTTTGACCACAAAAATCAATTGATCAATTTTAATTTTTGCTTTTTATATTCCAATGTAAATAGTCTACAAGTGCTACAGGCTGTAAGCCACCTAGCATCAGTAAAAAAAATTCAATTTAATATAGATCATAAAAGCCATTTAACAATTGAATGAAGAAACCAGCAGAACTGCTCAACTGATACTTAGAAGAGAATCATATGATGAAATATAGCCAAATTAAGAATATATATATGTATAGTATCTGGGCAACTGCCCACCTACCCCTCCCCTGACTCAACAACAGTCAATTAATAACAACTTAGGGTTAATGTTGGGTTAGGGGAGGGGTAGGAGGGCAGTTGCCCAGATACTCATATTGATCCTATATATTTAAGGTAAATGAACTTACTGTAAAAAAATTTGTTAATTTTTTACGTTCTGTGACGAATTCAAGACATCGAAAATATTGTATGTATCCATGAGCACCATGTGAATCAATAGAACAGAGAGAGGCTTAATTTTGACCTCAGAGTGGAATTAAAGAGGAAATTGTTTTTCGTCTTGCCACGAATATGAGACAAAGATCAACTTACACTCTGCCTTTGCTTATCCTAGCACTATGCAGGGCATGAGTTCCTTGAAAACCACGACAGCGACAGCAGCGAGGTCAGGGTAAAACAAAAAAAGATCTTATGGGAAGCTGAACAATAGCCCAGCACGTGCGTTTAAAACTTTGAATATTCCTTACTGAGCTGTCCTCTGCAAAAGCAACCACGTGAAATCAGACCAAGATCTGCTTGGTTCGTGAACGGAAACGACAGCAAATTATTCCAGTTTCCATCTGGAACTCAACGCTGTCCACCTAAGTTTTGCCTAAGTTGATGTGTGGCAAAGGGACGCTTGACATAAAATACAATATTCTTTTTTTGCTCGACGTCTTTCCAGTCGCTGAAACTAACCACTGACATCGGAAGGTCTATTGAGGATTTATGGGGACCCAAAATTTTTCCTTCGTAACAAGACAGACTAAACCAACTTTCCGAGCTCAAAATATATTTCATCTTTATTAGGTTAGCTTATTCACCCTTTGATATACAATGTTGTAGTTCAGTTTCTTGCAGCCTACCTCCATAGGTGCAACTCCTTTCCTACCCCTCCCTCACTTGGCAAGGAGTGTTGAGCCTACCCCTACTAAGTTTTCCAAAAGAACAAGAGTTGCGCAAAAGTCACGCAGTCATCCAACTCGTCACGCAGAAGAAACTGAAAAGACGGTGAAGTGAAAGACCGGAAAGTTGAACAGATATGGCACTTAAACAACCAAAGTCGAAAGTAAGTTGGTGAGAGTGAAGTTATTTTAGGTTTGACTTCAAAATAACTAGCCACGTTGGCCGATTTCTGCGTAGTAACCAAATATATCTTGTAGTGTTGTTGTAACGTTTCACAGCATGTCTGTCGTAGCCTGTCGTAGCTGTAACGTGAACCTATCGTCTTAAATGTTTATTCAAACCTTAAACCGTATGCTTTTTTAAAGCATTACAGGGGTCTCATATCATTAAAGGGGTCTCATATCTTTGATTTCATGGTGTAAGATTACCTTAAACATAAGTTTGCTCTGTGCAAATGTGAAGTGATTTACACGCGTAGCCGGTCTAGGGATACGTATAAACCCGCTAACACGTGTTGTGACGGGTATCTCTGTTTCCTAAATCTTTGCCTCTTTTCAATCCGATCTCTTCGTTTTGAATCAGCTTCAGAGCGTATATCAGTGAAAGTTAAAATTTGCTTTGAGTCAATCGTTATATTTACTCTCGTTCTCCAAACTCCACGTTGCTATATCCAAGATCTTGAGTCATTGAAATTTAATCCAGTGCGATCGATGATACTATGTTAATATTTGTATTTCAAGTCAAAGTTAAATTCAGAAACGTCAGCACGTCAGCACTCTCCTGATGCTCAAGCATAATTTTTAAGTAAGTCGTTATTACAATGAAATTTTCTGGAAGTTTGGCAAGATAAAGTCGGAAGCCATATTTGTGTCCATATTTGGGCCTCGTCCAGAGAAAGTTGGGAGGGACTGGAGGTGTTGTTTCGTGTATCATGTTACTCTATACAAAATTATATAATAAGCTCAGTTATGCAGACATTCTTATTGGTTCTCACTTATGATCTATTGGAGGACAGACATATAGATGATGTCATCGTTAAATCTCTTTTCTGTATATTTTAATTCTTTATTATATAAAACAAATAGATTCCAAGTTGCCATGTGTCTGTTCAGTAATAGATCACAAATAACATCAAAATGTGGTAGCTTACCACATTTTGATGTCATCTGTGATCTATTACTGAACAGACACATGGCAACTTGGAATCTATTTGTTAAATAATGCATTTTCCTTACACTAAATCTAGCTACTTTAATATGTATGGGAGGAGAGCTGCATTCTGAATGGCAAGTTTAGTTTGTTTAATGACCTAATATGTAAAGATCAGCAAGTGTTTGCATTGTTAGAAACTTTGGGAGTCCCATTTGAATTTAATGGCAAACTTGTCACATGCTTTTACTTCTGGAGTACATTCAACTCCCAATGACTTGATCAAATTTCTATACCCCAAGCCTTGCAGTAACTTGAATCAAAATGATTTCCCATGGATTTTTACGCAATCCTTTTGAATTTTACTATATGTCTAA